TTCTAAGTAGTTTTGAGATATACAAGGAAGCCTAGCTGTGTTAGAACTGTCTATTTTTCACGCCTACGTCAGAAACAACATGTATGGTACTCTGAAAATAAAGACTATTCCATTAATATTCTACTAATTTATCTTTGCTGTAGTGGCAGGAACACTTTGCAACATAGAAAAGAAGCCTGTGTCCTTTATCCTTTAAAAATTTCCCAAGTGAGGGGGCCAGTCGATGGTACATCGATGGTAACATAAGGCTCTGTGATGCTGACCCACCCAGAAAGGTCCTGGGTTCAGAGACCTCCCTGAGCATGCCAGGCACACGCATGCCAGTAGTCCAGGCTGGCTGAGACTGGAAGAAGACAATGGTGTGAATATCCTGTTGGGGATGCATGTGTGTGTGTGTGTGTGTGTGTGTGTGTGTGTGTGTCTGTCTGTCTGTCTGTCTGATCCATAAAGAATGAAATAAACTTTTTAAAAATTCCCTGAGGGTATAGCAGGTGGCATAGTGGTTACGGCACTAGACTCTCACATGGCCAACCATAGTTTGAGTCCCAGACCCAGTGACTTGAAACTCACACTAGGGTGTGTGCGTGAATGCCCAAAATCCCGAGAGGAGAAGGGAGGAGAAGAGATGGTGTGGCCATCCCTCTGGGGGGTGATTTCTCATTTTCTTTCTCTCTGTCTCTCTGGGTAACGCACGTGCCATAGTGCAAAAATCTCTCTAAAAAAAATCTAAAATACTCAGTCCAGAAAAGAAAATGTCTAAAGAGTTGATCAACAAGAGAAAAAGGTCAATGAATGACTAAAGACAGAGAAGGCCAGAGTCCTTAGACAGGTTTAGCTTTAGCATTTCCCACCTACCAGCAGATTCTACTCTTGCTGTCCAGGTCCTTCCTCCCTTACTTTCATTCCACATACACTACTATGAGCTGAATGTTTGTGTCTCCTTGAACTCTAATCCCCAAGATGATGGTATTAGTACATAAGGTCTTTTGGGAGGTGATGAAATTATGAGGACAGAGCCCTCATGAATGAATGGAATCAGTACCTTTATAAAAAGGGCCTCAGAGTTCCCTCATCGCTTTTACCAAATGAGGATACAGAAGATGATTGTCTATGAACCAGGATATGGGCCCTCACCAGACACCTAATCTACCAGTGCCTGGCTCTTGGAATTTCTAGCCTCCAGAACTGTGAACAATAAATTTCTGTTGTTTATAAGCCACCTAGTTTATGGTAGGCAGTCAGGATAGACTAGGATAGACACATACTGATGCCTACTGTAAAACAATAAATCAAGATAGTTCCCACCCTCAAGGCAGTCTAACAGCAGGAGACTGCTAAGTGCATGTAAATATTAAGACAGTACAGTAAGGCCCAGATCAAGACAGCCTGCTCTCTCACTTCACATGGGGTTTTGTTCAAACATCACCTCTTCAGAGAAGCTCTTACTGACCACCTTATCTCACCTCTACCACTCTGTCATTTAACTTAGTTTAATTTTCTTCATATTACTTCTCACCATCTCTATTCTTTTTTAAAAAATTACTTTATTTTTTAAACATTTATTTATTTGTTTGTTTGTTTTAATTTGACCAGAGAGGGACATAGAGAGAGAGAGAAAGTGAGTCCAAGACTCAAACTGCAGTTGGCCATGTAGAAGTCCAGAGCCCTTAACTGCCATGCCACCTGCTGGCCCCTCCCCACCTTTTTTTTAAGGTTTTTACCATAGGGTGTGTGCACTGGCCAGAGAGAAAGAGAGAGAGAAACAGTGAGAGGGAAAGTGAGAAATCACCCCCCAAGAGAATGGCCGCACCACAATCCCTTTTCCTCCATTCTCCTCCTGGGATTTTGGGCACACATGCACATACGTGCACTTGGTGTGATTTTCAAGCCCCTGGGTCCAGAACTCAAACCACAGTTGCTCATGTGGGAGTCCAGCACCTTAACCACTACGTTACCTACTGGCCCACAACCTGCTATTCTACTTGCTGTTCACTGTCATGTAAGCTCTATGAGGGCAGGGCCTTTTGCCATGTTCATCACTTCATTCTCAGCCCTTAGAATGCTGGGCACTGAGGAGGCACTCTGTAGGCATTTGTGGAGTGAAAGAATGACAGAAGCTTGCACATCATGCTATGGAAGTGCAGAGAAGGGGGTGAATTCAGTCTTTGGTTGGTTCTGGAGAGGGAATAATTGCTGAGCCAAGTGCTGAGGGATAAGCAGCCAGGCAGCTGTCTGGCCCAGGGCCTGTACTGTATTCAGCAGTGTAGTATACATAGCTTCCTCCCACCTCGTTTGAATTTCCTTGAAGTTGAAATGGTTCTCACTCTTAAGAGTTTTTTGAGGAATGTGGCATAGTGACTTCCATTCATTTACTCACAAATAGTTAAAAGGACCTATCATATACCTATTACTATTCTAGATAGAGTGGAAATTAACATTTTTTCTCTAAATCGAACTGCATAGAAAAGTCTGATTTTATTCAAGTGTCTTTGATCAGGGAGAGCTTTACTTTTTGCTATAGGGCATGTGCACTTGCCAGAGAGAGACAGAGAAAGGGAAAGTGAGAAAACACTCCCGAGGGGGATGGCCACACCAAAATCTCTTCTCCTATATTTTCCTCCGGGGATTTTGGGCATGCATACACACACACAAACCCAGCATGTTTTTCAAGCTTCTGGTTCTGGAACTCAAACTTCAGAGCTGGCATTGGGGGATCCAGCGCCTGAACCACCACTGGGAGAGCTTTCTTTTTTTTTTTTCTTTTTTTTTTTCAAGTAAAACTCAGATGATGCATCCTTTAAAATATAAAATAGTTCCAGAAACACTATTGTCTTCAAAATATTCAACTTCAAAGAAATAGCACAGAGTCCATTGTGACCCTGCATCGAATAATCTAATTTTCATTTCTACAGAAGGCAATAAGCCCCTTATTCATCTTAGTGAAATTTATAATACTAATGATGAAACCTGCAAGCTACTATCATTACAGGGACCATGAGTCACTATTCAGAAAAAGAGAGAACAGATCCTGGCAAAGTTCCAGTATGAACTAGGCTTTTCTTTCTGTAAAATGTCCCAAATTTGCACCAGAGAAGGGGCACACAGATGGAAGCTTAAAAGCCTTAGAAATAAGACAAAGAGAAATAGAAATTATAGTGCCTATGTAACAAATGGAAAGAGGTTGCAAGAGAGCAATACCATAACCAAAGGCAGGCAATACTAGCACAGTACGAATACAAGGAACTAAAAATACATAAATAATTAACAAAACAGAACAGAACAGGACGGGCTATGGATTTGATGAGGGGCTCTGAAAAGATTTTCCTTATGGAAGACAGACACACCAATAAAGGTATTAACAGTCTATATAACTCATATGATTTCTGAGAAAAACAGTAATAGTGAAAAAGATCTGTTAGAAAGTGACACATTAGAAAAGTTGATGTTATCTTAAAATATTTTTAACACATTTCCAAGTGTTCATTATTTTTTTTTTTTTTTTGTGGAGAGGTTTTTGCTATAGTGCACGTGAGCTCACCAGACAGAGAGAGAGAGACAGAGAGACAGAAAGCAACAAATCACCCCCCAGAGGGGATGGCTACACCGCAATCCCTTCTCCTCCATTCTCCTCTCAGGATCTTGGACATGCACGCACACACACCCGGTGTGAGTTTTAAGCCACTGGGTCTGGGACGCGAACTGCGGTTGACTACATGGTAGTCCAGCGACATAGCCAATACGCTAACTGCTGGTCCCTTAAATTTGTGTTTCATCCTATATTCCCTGAACCAAACTGAAATACTATATGAGGTTTATATGATTCTCTCTATAAAATAACTTTTCTGGGACCAGCAGTTAGCGTAATGGCTATGTTGCTGAACTCCCATGTGGCCGACTGTGGTTTGAGTCCTGGACCCGGTGGCTTGAACTCACGCCGGGTGTGTGTGTACATGCCCAAGATCCCAAGAGGAGAATGGAAGAGAAGGGATTGCGACATGGCCATCCCCCCTGGGAGGTGACTGCTCGCTTTCTATCTCTCTGTCTCTGTCTCACATGCCCTATAGCAAAAATCTCTTCAAAGGAAAAAAAACTTTTCTATTTTCTCAAATTAAATCATATTTCTTTTTCTATTATTACTTTTTAAAGTGAATCTTCTTTAACAAATTTTTATTTCTTTATTTTAATTAATTAATTTACAGTCATTTATTGTACATCAATACAGTATACAAAATGAGATTTTCCATCCAGTATACATGGTATATTGGCTCGATGAAGGATATTACCATACATGTTATCAACAAATAATTTTCCAGTTTTGTTTCTTACATATTTTGCCTTTTTCCCCCCTCCATTGAGTCCCTATCTCTAACCCTCTGCCAACTTCCATCGGTACTATCGAGGCTGTTTCCATTGTATTATTGGATCAATTTATGTACTAAGTCACTGTGTCAGTTACTGTAAGTAAAATATTTTAGTGATGTCAGACAACAGTCTAACAGTGACTGTAAGTCTGTTTTTTAATCATATGGTTTCTTCAGTGAATACCCAGTTCCTAACGAAAAAAAAAATATTGTCTCATTTAAAAAATACTGCTGACTGTAGTTGACAAATTATTATTGTGTTTCTATTAAAGTGACAGACAACAAGGTGGGGAGTAGGGAGAAAGCTTGAGCAGGTACCCAAGCACAATGCAATCATTTCAATCTAGGCATAACTGAAGGGGAAAGGAGGAGTATGTTGGAAAGGCAGAATGCAATTCACAGACCTAAAGAGCAAATGCCCAATGCTCTTGGTAAATATGAATCTCATACTTATCAGAAGATAAACCCTGTAACAGCCCGTCCTTTACCCAGAAGATACGGAATCAAGGCAGGCCTTTCAGAGTCCTGCATTTCTCCTGCTCACCTCTTTGAGCTGACCATGCCTTGCTGCATGACATAAAGCCCCACCAAACTGACCCTCAGTCGTCAGACTGTCTGGCAAAGGAAAAAGATACTTACTTGGATATCACAGGAGAAGATGGTCTCTTAGAAATACCTCCAGGAAAGTCGCATCTTTTCAGAGGAGACCCAAAGCCCACGGCAGGAAAAGAAGCTGACACTCTCTGTCCTCTCTTCACCTTCTCCATCTGTAGAAGATGCAGAACAAGGCAACCATAGCCCATTACTGGCACTACTTTCACAGTTTCTAAAAATATCTCACATAGAAGTGAGGCACGAGTTTCTTTTTAGAGGAATCAATATGGAGCTATAGCACTTCACATGATAATGAATCTCTGCAGGGAGGCACCATGAACTCATCACATTTATGTTACCCAGTGGGGGGGAAAATAACTTCTGACTTAAAAATGCAAATATTTCTTCTTGTTATCTTGCAAAGAGCTAACAAGTGAATCTTAGTGAACATAGCCCTGGACAGGAATTACAAAGAGTACACAGATACATAATCTCTACCAAAGAAACATCACAGGTGGGTGAAAATGTGGTTATTACATGCTGGACAGTCAGCCCGGCCCCTGGTATTTATGGTATGATGGGGATTGCACCCCACCTGCTCCTCTATGTCATTCCCATCAGCCCTCTGACAGAAAGCAGAAGGAACAGACTTCAGTGCCTGGCCTGCAGAAGGTGCTGCACAGGGTTGGTTTCCTTCTCTCTCTGTTGTACTCAGCTGCAGCAGACACTCATTTGGTGCCCACACCCATCTATGTCAGACCTCTTCCACAGTAATCCATTCCATAGTAAAATCCAAGAGTCTGTAACTTGCACTTCACTTGTAAGAACTCCAGGGCCACCATGGATTTAAAAGAAAGTATGGTATAAAATGTCTAATGGTGTAGTACTGTGGTGGTTTTAAAAGAAGTCCACATGTTCTTTGATATTCCTCCTTTCCACAGGTGGAGCTTAATTTCCCTCCCCTTGAGTGTGAAGTTGATCTTAATGACTTACTTTTAATGAATACCATAAGACCAAAGTGAGAGATTGGGAATAAAAGGCAGTCTAGTTCCCATTTGTGCTTTCTCTCTCAGATCGCTTGCACAGGGGGAAGCCGACTGCCATGTTGTTTAGACACTCAAGCAGCTTTACAAGAGGGGCCCACGCAATGAGGAACTGAGGCCTCATGCCAACAGCCATGTGAGTGTGCTGTCTCAGAAGAGGCCCAGTCAAGCTTTCAGATGATGTAACCCTGGACAGCATCTTGATCACACCCTCATGAAAGATCCTTTACCAGAACCACCCAGCTGCACTACTCAATTTCTGACCCAATGAACCTAGAGATAATAAGTATTTGTTGGTTTAAGATACCAAGGTTTGGGGCAATGTATTACGTAGCAATTGATAACTAACAAAAGTAGTATAGCATATACAATTTCTAAATAAATACACATAATTGGGAGTATCTCACTCAACATTTATTTTACTGGTGATATCAGTAACCCATCAAAAATGTTCAACGGCTACTGTTATGGGTGAAGGCTGACCTAGAACCTTTGTTCTAGTTACCTTCTTACAGAAAGGCAAGACTAGCCAAGAATCAGATATCCCTAAAGATGCAGACAGAGGACACTTGAAAAATTCCCTCTGACTCCTGTCCTTTAGAAGACAGGCAATAATTTGCACATTAGGAATCTGTTCCAAGGCAGTAAGATCTAGGAGACTGCAGGAAATGAAATGATTTTCAAAGGTTGGGTAAAATTTGAAACCAAACGCACCTAGAAATTGATGGAAACGGAGATGGCAGGTCAAGAGCAGGAAGTAATCACACTGTCAGATAAGCCGTATGCTAGATGGGTGAGCAGGTGGGTTTAAACCTACCTGAGAGGCCTCTGCTCCTGTAGGGGCTTTTTTCCCAGCATCTCCCATGCCAGATGTAGATGCGATCATCTTCTTCTCGGTGTTACGAGTAGGAGAAGACTTGTAGGGGGATTTCAGAGGACCACCAGGAGCTATACGAGGACAGGCATGGGATACTAGAGAGTTACAGTATAATAGCCAGAAAGAGAGAGAGTGTAGAAGGAAAAAGTAGGGAGAGCAGAGAGTTGGGAAGAACATCACATTCCTGTTAAAACATGACATGGGCAATCCACACTCTCAAAGTACCATACTCTTTCTATTATACACAGAATGGATCTCATCCTAAGAAGGCTCTATATTCAAGAGTTGAATTCATTTCAGATGATAAAAGTCTGCACTCTGAAGCCAGACAGATCCAGCACTGCCACCTAACAGCTGAATCACCTTGGGCAGGTTACTTAACCTCTTTAAATCTCAATATTTTTGTTCAGAAAAGTTAACATAGAAGATCTGACTGCTATCCTTTGAAAGGCCTGCTTACCAGGGAAGCCTTTGGCTGGCATCTGAGAACTTAGATTTGGGGAGCATTCCCATCATTCACTGATGAGTACCCAAACTGTTTGTGTAAATAATAGGAGTTATGCTGAACACCTGCTCTCCTTCTAGGAGTCTGGGATTTGGGCAGGTACCTAGCAGGAGGAACCTATGTGATCAGTCCCCAGTAAAAACCCTGCACACTGAGCGTTAGTGAGATTCCTCAGCTGGCACTTCTTCCTGCATGCGGTCACAGCTTGCTGCTGGGGGAATTAAGCTGCAGCTCCTCTGGGAGAAGACCCTTGGAAACATGCACCTGCTTTCCTCTGGACTTTGCCTTGTGCATCTTTCCCCCTTACTGATTTTACTGTGTATCATTCTGCTGTGATAAGCCATAGCCAGGACCACAATTATATGCTGACTCCTGAGTCCTCCTAGTAAACCACCAAACCTGGTTGGGGGAGGGGGCAGAGAGGGTGATGCGGTCTTGGGGATTCCTTACATATTGATGTCAGAAGCGGCAATCACAGAACGACCCTGATTCACTGAAATACAGTAAAAGCATTGTTTGGAAAAAAGGAAGGATAGAAGGTTAGAGGCCAATGAACCTGTGCTGTCTGGAGTGGCTATGGAGTCATCTATGGTATGAAATACCCTCTGAGTTGCTATCTACTGTGAGAGAAAGATGTTTTCTATGAAATCTGACAATAACCAATGTGACTCCAAGTGAGTCACAATGCTAAAGTGAGTGGAAAAGTGCAGTTCTGGGATGCCTTTAGTTTTTGTTTTCTCTTCCAAGCAGGATCTGGGATTTGGGCAGGTACCTAGCAGGAGGAACCTATGTGATCAGTCCCCAGTAAAAACCCTGCACACTGAGCGTTAGTGAGATTCCTCAGCTGGCACTTCTTCCTGCATGCGGTCACAGCTTGCTGCTGGGGGAATTAAGCTGCAGCTCCTCTGGGAGAAGACCCTTGGAAACATGCACCTGCTTTCCTCTGGACTTTGCCTTGTGCATCTTTCCCCCTTACTGATTTTACTGTGTATCATTCTGCTGTGATAAGCCATAGCCAGGACCACAATTATATGCTGACTCCTGAGTCCTCCTAGTAAACCCCCAAACCTGGTTGGGGGAGGGGGCAGAGAGGGTGATGCGGTCTTGGGGATTCCTTACATATTGATGTCAGAAGCGGCAATCACAGAACGACCCTGATTCACTGAAATACAGTAAAAGCATTGTTTGGAAAAAAGGAAGGATAGAAGGTTAGAGGCCAATGAACCTGTGCTGTCTGGAGTGGCTATGGAGTCATCTATGGTATGAAATACCCTCTGAGTTGCTATCTACTGTGAGAGAAAGATGTTTTCTATGAAAAATGACAATAACCAATGTGACTCCAAGTGAGTCACAATGCTAAAGTGAGTGGAAAAGTGCAGTTCTGGGATGCCTTTAGTTTTTGTTTTCTCTTCCAAGCAGGAGTGGGAAACAGCTTCCTCATTTTGTGCCACTAGTGGGTGGGCTGGAATTTAAATTCTGAGTACTGGAATCAGAACAAGTTTCCACAGCTGACAATTTTTGCTGTGACTTTTGCCTAATGCAGTCACTGGAAAAAGAGAGACATGAAAAGAGAGGCAATTTTCAGATGGATATCTCCTTTTGGAGTTTTAAAATCAAAGTAGGACAACTACCGACATAGAACATCCCACTGAGAGGTCCTAAACTGTGAAAGCATCTTGGATGGTATTAGACCATTTAGGTCACATACAAGTGTCCACGGGACAGGACCTGTTCTCTGCTGAGCCCATCCAAAGTCAAGCTGCTCACTGGCTCTGTGCGAGGAGCTTGCCTACATTCCCAACTTCAGATTCCTGCAAAAGTACAAGGTGGGAAGGGTAACGTAATCCCTGCATTACACTGGGCAGATGAGACTCCACTCGCTCTGGGAGATGTGTTGCTGTTGTTGACATCCCACGTTTGACCTTCCAGAGTAGCTGCACTTTGGAACAATGTACTGAGAGCCTGACTCTACTTCCCTCAGCTTGCTCCCAGTACACACACCTTAGTAAGGCAATTTGTTAAATGCAGCAGTCCCGGGAAAGGGATTGATCTTTTCTGGTAGCTCACTGCATAAATATTCAGGGTGAAAAGAATGAGAGGGGATAAAAAACCATCTTTCTGGTTAAGTTAAATAAACCTTTTTTTTCTTCTTGCAAAAGGTTTTTGTTCTTTGAAAGGTCTGGTAAGAGTAGGTAACGACTGAGAAAATGTAAAGTTGTGATTACTGAATGGACATAGAGAAAAACAACAAAACCTAGCACCTAGGCCATCCAGGGGAGGGGAAGGACATTTGTGATCTATGTCTGCCAGAACTGCTCCTGGAAGCTCTCCCCTTCCTGAAGGAGACTCCCTGTGCTGCCTGTGCAAGCTACTGAGCGTGCTTTGGATTCAGATCAACTGCAGAGCCTAGGTGGCACATGACGGCATGACTATGAGACAGTGGGGGTGGGCCAGCCCCTGCATGTCCTGCAGAACACCGCCAAATGCTGTCCGCACTTGCCAGGCAGAGGAACTACTATCAACAGCAGAACTGTTTGGGACTGATGACCTCAGGTGGCCCCTCTAAACCATGGGCTGAACCAAATTGCTTGTACTAGACTGAGTACTCCAGAGCCCCAGGAGGCACCATGGCAGGAGGCCACACTAGGGGCTGCCTGACCAGATCCTGCTAGCAATGCCCCAACATTCTCAACTCTCTGTTTCCAGGAGACTGTGATTCTTGCGGGTGTGCCCTGACTATCACAGCACTGCCCTGGAAGGTGTTCAGGTCAATTTCAACTTACTGGCCAGAGCTATACTGGGCCTGACTTGATGTCTGAGGCCAGAAAGAAAAGTTGCATACAGGAACTGACAGAGGCAGCCACTTGACTGCTTAAGACAGAATTGTATAATTACTTGGATTTGCTTTAACTGCTAAATCCAGCATGCCCAAAGGGCATAACGGAGATTAATATCAGCTGTGTAGGGTCTTACTGATAATTCTTCCATAAAACACCTTGGCCAAAGGTCAAGAATGTGGATGATACAGAAAAACGTTAACACGGCAGGCATAACTGCTGTCCAACTTACTTATAAGGTTGGCCCTGGCTGGCACTGGGAATTTGTATTTGGGGAGGGTTCCCATGGTTAACTGATGAGGGGCTCACTGCGCCTTAACTATTTGTACAAACAGTACTGTGTACCTTGAACACTGGCTTTCCTTCTCAATGTCTGGAATTTGGGCATGTGCTGGACAAGGGGTATACACGAGCAGCTCCCAGTAAAAACTCTGGGCACTGAGTGTCTAAGAAGCTACCCTGGTTGGCAACATTCCATACGTGTCACAACTCATTGCTAAGGGGCAGCAGCCTGAGTGACTCTTCTGGAGGGGACTGTAAATGTTGGTACCTGGTCTTCCCCGGACTTTATCCCATGGGTCTTTCCCCTTCCTGAATAACCTTTCACAGCAATAAGTCATAAGTGAGTGTGACTATATGTTGAATACCATGAGCCCCCCTACAATTGTGGATCCTGGTTGGGAGAGATCTTAGAGACCCCTGATATATTCCTCATTAAAATGAGGATACTTCTTACTTGCTAGGGCTATTCAAGATATAATTAATATACTATGAAACTTACTCTTTAAAAAGTACACTATTCAGTATAACAGTCACAAAGTTGTGAAATTATGACCGCAGTCTAATTCCAGAACATTTTCAAGAGCCCCAGAAGAAACCCTTTACCTATTAAGCAGTCATTCCTCCTTTCTTAGTCCACCAGCCCTTGACAACTACTAATCTAATATCCATCTTTATGGATTTGCCTATTTCAGTCATTTCATACGAATGGAATCATACAATAGTCTATTCTGGCTGGCTTCTTTCACTCAGTATTTTTTTTTTTTTTGGAGAGGTTTTTTTGCTATACGGAGCATACACTCACCAGAAAGACAGAGAGAGACAGAGAGACAGAAAGCAAGAAATCACCCCCCAGGGGGGATGGTCACGCTGCAATCCCTTCTCCTCCATTCTCATCTCGGGACCTTGGACATGCACACCCACACCCGCCCGACATGAGTTTAAGCCACCAGGTCTGGGACTCGAACCGCAGTCGGCTACATATGAGTCCAGTGACATAGCCATTACACTACCTGCTGATCCCTCACTTAGTATGTTTTCAAGGCTGATCTACCTTATAGCATATATCGGTACTTCATTTCTTTTATTTTTTATTTTTTGAAGAGGTTTTTGCTATAGGGCATGTGCGCTCGCCAGAGACAGAGAGAGACAGAAAGTGAGAAATCACCCCCCAGGAGGGATGGCCATGCCACAATCCCTTCTCCTCCATTCTCCTCTTGGGATCTTGGGCACTCATGCACATGCGCCTGGTTTGAGTTTAAGCCACTGGGTCCGGGACTCGAACTATGGCCGACTACATGGGAGTCCAGCGACATAGCCATTACGCTAACTGCTTGTCCCCTCATTTCTTTTTATGGTGAATAACAGTCCACTGTATGGATATGCACATTCTCCTCCATTCATCAGTTGATGAACATTCCAGTTATTTCCACTCTGTGGCTATTGTGAATAATGCTGCTACAAACATCTGTGTACAACTTTTTGTGTGAATGTATGTTTTTAATTTCCTTCGCTTTATACCTAGGAGTAGAACTGCTGAGTTACATGGTAAGTCTATGTTTAACTTTTTAAGGAACAGCCAAACTGTTTCCCACAGCAGCTGAACCATTTTATAGAGATCAGCAGCATTCTGATGGGGTCTCTGACACACACGCCCTGCCTCTGGGATGGAGAGGTGAGGTCAATACCAGTGAAAACCACCAGGAAGCGTATGAAGGTCCAAGGTCACCATACCTTCACCAACACTTGTTATTGTTCCTTAAAAAAAAAAAAATAGCCATCATTGTGGGTGTGAAGTGTCTTCTCGCTGTGCTTTTGATTTGCATCTCCCTAATGGCTCACGATACTGAGCATCTTCGTCATGTGCTTATTAGCTATTTATGTACGTTCTTTGTAGAAATAGTGTAACTATGCAGAAGCAACTACCACAAGGTATAGGTTCTATGCCATCTATACTTCACCTCACTGAATATACTATCTTGGGACTGATGACCAAACCTTACACGGACACTCTTAAATGTTTCTCATCTGCAAACAAAGAGAATTAACTGTCCTCGTTAATCTTGACATGATGGATGTAATCTGCTTGGGTAAAGAAAGGGCCCTGATGGTCTGGCCCAATGTTTCCGAGACTTTAATATACAAGGCAGGCGTGGGCCCTTGGTAGCTTCCTACCAAGTTCCCAAGTGATGCCACATTGCTGGCTCATGGACTTTTTTTTTTTTTTTTTTTAGCCG